GGACAACATGTCCTGGTTTCCCCCCCTAGTATGAGTCAAGCTCTAAAACCACTGGCTTTTATATCTCCCATAATAAATGTGTTCTTTATTAAGTTAGAAAAAACTGTAAGACCTGTTTCTGCTTAAATTTCTTTTGCAGGAGATAATTAGATGGCTGAACTTGCTGAGAGTGTTTATCATTTGGAGAACATCTTAAAGGCCACGTCTACGTTGCTCTAGTGTCCGTGTAGAATCGTTGTCCCCATGTTAATAGAAACTGTAGAGGTGAAATCAAAGAGCACAACCAAACAAGGAATGGAAACTTTAAGTGTGTGCCCAGCTGTGCGTCTTTGTGACGGCTGCCTGTCCAGTTTATTTTACCTCAGTGTGGAGCATCATCGCTATTGTGATCATGTGGTCATATGTTTACTATGTTGGTTTTCTGCCACAAAATGACATGATGCTTTGCCATGATCGTTGGATCTTTGTGGCCACAGAAGGCAGACAGAAAAATGGTTGTTTCCTAATGTGTAAATACTCTGATGTGGCCTTGTTGTGATGCATGTAAAACCTTAGAAGCATAAATATTTTAGGTAAAAAAATGTCAGAGGCGTACGAGCCACACTGTGCATGAAGCTGTGTGCAGTTTGCATCTACAGAGCTCATCAGTAAAAACAAGACTAAGGACATCTCAGGTCATTTGGATGAGCTGGAAAACGTGTTGTGTTTCCCATTGTTTTGGTTTCTTTTCACATAGAAATCACTAAATGCATCAGTAAAAGTGGATTGGGTAGATGTGTGTGAGGCTACAGCAGGAGCACAGGAACAGGGCTCAGATACGTATCTGCCCAAGTAACAGTTGACACAGCGCTGCTGGCTCCTGGTTGTTGTTTGGCTCTAACCTGCAGCTGTGTCAGATCAAGGATCTGAAACAAAGAGCACAGTTTGCCTTATAGTTTTTGTAACAGAACAATTTCTTCATTGTCTTCTGTTTTTCACCGAGATGCCAAAATCAGACACATGGCAGCACAGAAGTACATGCACATGGCTGACCATCCAGATCTCTGTCAGCACAGTACTGATGGGTGTATGCGTGCATGAGTTGGTCTGTTCACAGACCCAGTCACTTACTTTACATCCGGTAACAATCAGGGCCTGGGAGGGGTCAGTACATCACTTCAGCTCCAACTGTTCATCACAAACATCTGAACCAATCACTGAGTCCGAGCTCATCCAGGGAACGCTGCTTGTTTCCCTTTTTCTTTTTTAAACAGAATATGAGTCAACAATGGAAAAAAGTCCTTACGGGACAGGGTTTTTTGTTCTAACTATGAAATGTTACATCGATAGCGGTCTCTGCTGTAACAGAGTAACTGCTGCAGAAAGTGACCACATAGCTGGAGAGACCTGATGGACAGGAGGTTTCCCTCCATTAGTGAAGAGACGGTCCATGTCCTCCTCAACTAGGAAAGGGTTCATTTTCCAAACAACAGTTAAAGGCAGCTTCTGAAGGTGCAATGTCATTGTCCATCCACCTTTTTATACATATGTCTAGTTTATAAACTGTAACTCTTGTGACCCTTTGGGGAAACACTGGACTAAACTCTCTGGCTGTTTATAAAGCAGCTGAAACATTCATTCATTTTCTACCACTTAGTCCCTGAACGGGGTCACAGGGGGGCGCCGGAGCCAATCCCGGCCAGCAATCGGGCAAAGGCGGGGTACACCCTGGACAGGTCGCCAATCCATCGCAGGGCTAACACATAGACGAACAACCAGACACACGCACTCCTATGGGCAATTTAGAGACACCAATCAACCTAAGCTACATGTCTTTGGACTGTGGGAGGAAGCCGGAGTACCCGGAGAGAACCCACGCAAGCACGGGGAGAACATGCAAACTCCACACAGAAAGGTCCCGGGTGGGGCCCGAACCCGGAACCTTCGCGCTGTGAGGCAATGGCACTAACCACTGTGCCACCGAAACAATCTCCACCTAATTCAGGCTAACTGTTACCAAAGGGTCACACAAACCGAGACAGTGTCAGATGTGTGTCCTCACACCTGAACCGCCAACATGCTGCTATAGGTGCCATACACACACACACACACATGCTGTGTTTTCATTCCTTGTGGGGACTTTACATTGACTTACATTCATGTCCTGTAGAACCATAACTACTACTTGCCTAACACCTAACCTCATCCTAACCCTAAACCATGTTGCCACCCTAAAATTCAGTGTTTTTTTTTTGTGGGGACTAGCTTCTGATCCCTACAAGGATGGCCAAGTCCCCACAGTGTAAGTGTGTTAACAGGTTTCGGTCCTCATGATGTAAGTAATACAAAGGCACCTTGGCGTGGTTCACCCCACACACAGATGGAGGAATGCTGTCCCTCTGGAGGACACATATACAAGCTGCTGTGTGTTTGTGTGAGGTCGTCCCCAGAGACACACTCAGCGATGATGTCTTCACCATCGCTGAGTGTGTCTACAACCTGCTAGTGGTGCTAATGAAACATCACTGCCCTGCACCGTGTTTTTGCTGCTGCAGCCTCCTCCTCCTCTCTTCTTCTCTGCTTTAGCTTTTTTCTCACTGTTTTCATCGTCCTCTGTCTCCTCCCCTGTGTCACGCATCACCTGCTCTCCTGCAGACTGACTTAAAGTTTCCAGTGTTTTTACCAAGGACACATCACATCTTCCTCAACATGCTCCACCTACTTATAACTGAACCCCACCCCACCCCCGACTCATCCTATCCTGGTATGTATAAAGACTATTTTCAGGCAGGGAGAGGTAATAACTGACTTGTGTGTATCTGGCACAGTGTGTGTGTGTGTAAGCGCTGCAGAGTTATTCTGCTGACTGCAGGAGCTCCACCTGGCAGGGGCGGCCGGCGTATCAGCATTTTGAGATGGAGGGAATGAAGATAAGGGTGGGGGAAAGATGGGATCAGCTTTGCTCTGGACTGGACGACAACAACAGGGTGGGGGAAAGATGGGATCAATCTAAATCACTACCGTCCCTTCACCCACATACACACTGCCTGAACTCACACACAAAAGAAACACACAGTCAGGCTGTGGAAATCCAGAGCTGCCGATGTTAAAATGAGACTGATTCATTTTTGCGCATGATGTTTAACATGAATTTTAAAAATGTATTTTGGGTTTGTATTTTATGTTCTTACTGTTAAAATTAAAGATAAAGTGAAAACCGTTAAATACAAATATTTTTCTGTGTGTCATGTAGCATGGCACTGTTAATCAGCATGTTTACGTCAGACAGTGCATTCACATACATGGTAATGACCTGTAAATCCACATGTACATGCAGCAGATGTTGCAATGAGGAGACTGTGTCCTTCATATTAATATATCAGCTTCTTGTGGCCTCTTCCTCTGCAGCAATTTAAGTTGAAAAAGAGCACCACCAGCTCTTTACCTCAACTAACCAGTGGCAATTGCATGTTATTCAGTGTTTTATTTAGCCTGTGTTCTGGAAATTCAGTTGCATACATAACATTTGGAAATAAACCAAGGTATGTGTTCTGGAAATTCAGTTGCATACATTACCTTGGTTTATTTCCAAATGTTGAGTCTCTCAAACTCAACAGAAATCAACTGACATAATATATAATAATACAATCACACTAATACATGAAGATTTAACTGTGTTTATGCATCGTACTGGGACAGACCCTGAATCTTCTCATCAAACCTTTCTGAAATATAAAACTGACATGAGAAACCTCTGCAGATGTTATGAGTCGGAAATTCACAGGTCCTGTGGAACGTCTAACATGCATAAATTAATCTTTTATAATAAGCCAGACGTGAACTGAGGGTGAGACCGATCTGAAATGTGGACGGTGCCAACACTGGCAGCATGATGATGGCTAAAAATTAATTTAATCAATTTACAAGCAGTAGTGGTGGAGACAAGCATAATAACAATAATAGACACATTTACAGTTTACAAATAATTTCCACCTCCTGCACCAATTTGTCATTTAATAAAACAAATGTTAGAGGCCACTGATTTTCCTAAGATAAGTTTAGCTTCAGTTCCCATATCGAAATCAAACTGTCACATGCATGTGATTTGGTTTATTTACACTTTATAGAAAAGGTCTGAACAGTGTTTGAAGGACATAGTGTGATGATCGCTGTTTGTTGTGAAAGAAGCACTTTGTGATTTTGATGTACCATGTGATCAGAGCTGATACCGAGTGCAGCCACAAAAGCATGAAAATTAAATAATCGAATTCGAATTTAAATTCTGATTTCATCTCGTGCACTCAAACAGAAAGTGACATTCTGATTTGAATAAACTGTTTCCTTTAAACATTGGCAGCCCTGGACCGCCATAACACACATCCCTTAAGTGGAAGTGAAATGGTGAATCCCTCTGTTTGGAACGAGCGTGCAGAGGATGGGCTGCAGTGTGTGTGTGTGTGTGTGTGTGTGTGTGAATGAAGCCGGAGGTGTGGGCTGACGCTGCACTGTGGCACCGTCTCCCTCTGAAGTTGTAGACTGTCAGTGTCACCAGGATATGCACTGTTTCTTCACACTGCTGGATGACAGAACATTTCCTACGCAGTATGTACGCTGTGTGCTCCCGCTGTGTGTTTGCATTTATGTTTAGTTCATGTGTTCATGTGTAGCACTCTGTAGTGTAGCTTCTCATGGGATGTCAGGTTTGTGCATCAAGAACAATAAGTGATTGTAAGCAACTTTGGAATAAGATTCAGAGATGTTTAAAATGTGTGCTTGCTTGGAGATGTGCCCAGTCACAGGGATGCAGGCTGCTCTGCACTCTGACGGTAATTACAGCGCTGTCAGCGGGAGAAACGCCACTGCAGATAGAAACACCGTATCACACTGTTCTGAACTGTGCTGCATGCAGGACGTACCTACACTAAATAACTTTCCTCTCTCTGTACTGCACTGATGTAATATAACTACCACTGCACTGTGCTGTAACACCCCCCCCCAACCCTCTTTCTGTGCCCCTGCAGTGATCGGACCCTCAGTTTGATGAGTGAAGATGATTCCTGTGCTGATCTGTGTTTTGATCTCACTGAGTGCAGCAGCCAGTGACTTGGGCACTCTGTATCCTGAGCTGGAGCACTCAAGAACCATCTACATCACAGGTGAGTGTGTGTGCTCACTGTGTTTCTTTGGGACAACCCGCCAGCATCATACAGAGTTGCAGAATCAAGAGAGACCTTTTCCTCTGTGCTTTGTCTGCGCAGCGTTCACGACACTCAGTCTGCAGTGTCATTTGTTCCCTCAGTTTATCAGTGTGTGCTGCTGCTGCAGCTCGGTGATAAGACTGCTATGTGGGTGACTATTAGCTCACTGAGATGGCGCCATCACGTTAAAGTATCATACCTACAAATGGAAACTTTGTTCATGTCAAGAGTTTAAAAAATTCTAACAAAAACACCTTAGCTATGCAAGGATGTTTTTTTTTAATCCTGAAAAGGCTTTAAAAACACAGTGGACTAAACCAAAGCTGCATGTATTTAGGACAGTAGATTATGAATAAAGTAGAGAATCCTGTTGTGACTGGGAGAGAAAGGAAGGGTCTTTACAAAACAATAAACTTCAGGCTTGTAGCCTTTGTACAATTTTAACTTTTGCACATACATAGTTTTTTGAAAGTATAATGGGCGTAGTCTTATAGCAGAACAGAAATAAAAATTAACTAGCAGTAGTTTGTTAGTTTGAATTTGTGTTCTAACTCCAAACTAACTAACAACTGAGTAATAACTAAAACCATTCAACTAATAACTAATAAATAAACTAATTGACAACAAACTGATAATTAAATTACAACCTACTTGCTAACTAACTAAAATTATTACAAATTAAAAACTGTCACAATATTATTTAAATACTAATTACTAACTAACAACTAAATAAAACTAACAAACAAATTACAAAAAAGTAACCAACAACTATGCTGTTATTAACTAATAACTATTAACTAAAATAACTAATAAATACAGTAACTAATTGCAAATGAACTAATGAACAACTAATCAATAACTAATAACTAGCACCAATCTAACTAGTAGGCATTTAATAAACTACATAATGACTGGCTGCTAAGTAATAACTAAATTAAAAAACTAACTACTAATAACAACTACTAACTGAGTTGTTAACTAATACCTAATTAACTTTGCTAATTAAATGAACATCTAACCAATTGCTAACTGAGAAGTAGCTAGCTAGCAGCCAACCGTATGCCAGTGCTTTAATGGTGTAAATTTAAGAGAAGAAACAGACAATAATGAACACAATATGAAACCATCTGACAAAAAACCAGTGAGGCCTCAGTGCATTTCCCAGTAGCAATACTGGAAAAAGGCTGCAGCCTGTCAGTGACACTAGAAATAGACTGAGATGTGATGAAGATGAAGCAGCTCAGAGGAACAGGATCGATGTGCAAACACAACACCTGCTTATACAGCAGACAGAGTGAAACACTGTGGTGGTCAGACAGAGTGTGAGGAGCCACATACATGCCTGTGTGTGTTGGCATTAATGTTCAGATTTAAACACAACACACCTGTTTATCAGCCGGCAGACTGACAAGCAATGGAACATCTTTTAATTGCTGGTGGAGATTACATTAATTGATTCATTTTATCTTGGGAGGCAGAGGCACAAATCTATACTCAAGGTTGGTGGGAACAAGATGTTAAAGGGACAGTTCTGGGAAAATCTTTCTGAGAATGAAATGAGAACATGAATAGCTGGGCTTCCAATCTAAATGCAGTCCCAGTGTTATCTGAGTTTAATCATTTTAACTGAATCCGGTGTTGCAGAAAATGGCCCTCAACTCTCAGTGGTGGCAGAACAACCTAAGGTGGTGTCGAGGCGAGGGGCAAATGTTACTTTACCATGCAAGATCCAACGGGACCAATCGTTGGCACCCAGTCGTAGGATGAGGATCAAATGGACCAAGCTGACTTCAGACTACCTGACAGAGGTTACCATGTACTTTATACATTACTGATTGTTGTCTGTGTTGTTTCCTTCACTAAAACAGCTTTTCTAACTATGAATATGAGATAAAGGAATGCCACATGTTTCTTTGTGAAATTGAATCTGTATTTACACACATCAAATCAAATCAAATTTTATTTGTATAGCGCCAAATCACAACAAAAGTCATCTCAGGACACTACAAAGTAAGGTCTAGACCTTACTGTTATCAATATTATTACATGGGGAAAACCCAACAAATCCCCCTTGAGCAAGCACTTGGCGACAGTGGGGAGGAAAAACTCCCTTTAACAGAAGAATCCTCCGACAGGCCCCGGCTCTTGGTGGTCGGCCTTCTGCCTCAACCGGTTGGGGTGAGTGGACAGAGGAGAGAGAAAAGAAAAGAAAAGCAACAAGACAACAAACAAACC